CGAATCATAAAGGAGGGCATTACAAATAGACAAAAAAGGAGCGACTTTGGACGACATCGATCTATTGAGCAACATGTTTTAGGTCCCATTTCAGAAACCATTTATAATATGTTTGCAGGTAATATTATACCCACACTAAACCAAATTTTAGCTGAATTAAAATCTAAAAATATTATTAATTGTAGTAAATCAACTTTAAGAAAATTTTTACTTTCAAATGGTTTTAAATATAAAACAATCAATAAACGACATACTATAATGGAAAGTGCCCGTTTAATAAAATGGCGTAATGAATATTTGGAAAAGATAACCGAGTACAGAAATAGCGGAAGAAAAATTTATTACTTAGATGAAACGTGGTTTGACACTAACGAAACAATTGGAAAAGGTTGGAGTAATGACAACGTAAAGTGCAAAGTTAATGTTCCAGCTACCAGGGGCAAACGAATATGCATTTTACATTGTGGAGGGGAAGACGGTTGGGTAACCGATGGCTTACTATTAAGTGCAAAAGATATTAAAGACAGTTGTTTGGACTATCATCAAGATATAACGGGTGAACTTTTCGAATCGTGGTTTAAAAATAAGTTATTACCAAATTTAGCAGACAACAGTGTTATTGTTTTAGATAATGCATCATATCATTCTAGACAACTTAAAAAAATTCCAAATAAATACTCTAGAAAGGATGAATTGCAAGATTTTTTATTATCACAAGATCTATATTTTGAAGATTGCTACACTAAAGACCAATTAGTAGAGGTACTTAATACAAAATTATTTGTAAAGGAATATATTATTGATGATGTAGCAAGTAAAAATGGACATACAACTTTAAGATTACCACCATATTACTGCATTTTAAATCCAATAGAGTTGTTATGGTCTCAACTGAAATATAATGTGAGACAAAAGAATGTAAGTCCAAAATGTTACAACACTGTCGTGAAACTAATAGATTCTGAATTTAAAAATATCTCTGAGGATAACTGGAAGAAAGCAATAGAGCACGTAAAAAACATTGAAAAAGAATATCTTAAAAACATTCCTGTTTTAAACAAAATTATTATCAATGTGGAGAACAGTGATTCAGAGGAAGAAAGTGACGAAGTATAATACCAAGACAACTTTCTCTCAATACTGAGCTTACCCGGAATATTTTCTTACATAATCAGATGTAGGGATTATCGACATATATTCAACACCAAACTACTGCTTCAATTTTTTAAGAAAAACGTGGCCTTATTATGAAAATCAGTTCTTAGGAGAAAATATAATGTAAGTAAGTGTTGACTAGATAAACTTTTAATTTTTACATCAAGGTTTTATAAATTATTTAAATATATATTTTTTTCTTTAACTACCTACCGTTCGCTCAATTATTAATTAGTTTTTGTATACAAACCAATTATTGTTTGAACATTTTATAGAAAATGCATTGCAGAAATATGATTAAAGTAATTTAAACTTACACAAAATCATCAAGACATAAAATTAATCTTTGTTTATAACAATAGAAATTTCTTATTTCAATTTCTTATAAAATATACCATATTGTTTCGTGTGGGTAGGTACTACCCTGTTATTCACCAGTCATGGTGCTGGTTGTCGCATTTTTCTCAAATAAATATAAACGACCTATACCAACAATATATGCTTTCTTTCAGATTCACTGAGTGAGCAACAGGCACTGAGACACAAGTATTACCATTGTGCAACAATGACACTTATCAGACTTTTCTTAGAAGAATCATTAAATAACCGCCATAATGTGGAATCGAAATTATCAGCTCCCAGTTTCATGACTACTTCAGAAATATTATGACAATACACCCTTGAACGCTCTTGAGAAAAATATTCCGCATACTCTTTTTCACGATGCCTATACCACAAAAATGTGGTACCGGGAGCCAATAGATTTTTATTTTTCAGTCGTGATCCTAACATTTTTGCAGCATCCTTCGATAGGATCAAGTGTCACACTAAGTCATTTAGTCCAGCTTTTGAAGTGGGTTTATCTCACGATTGACTTCATTTTCATAGGTTTTTTCGTCTGAACTTTCATCTGATGATTGCTGTTAGATGGTGTGAAGAAAAGTTGGAGGAATAGGGATTCATGGTTCATCTGATACAGGTCGTTTAGCAAAAGGTAAATCAAGATATTGAATTTTCTGTGAATTTTTTGAATTGAAACCCTTGATATCGCAAGAGCAAAAGTAGCAGTCGTCATGGTTTTTTGGTTCCCTCCATACCATAGGAATGCCGAATGGTAAAGTGTTACATGTACCTTTTCTTCATTTTTTCAGTAGTTCGACACACTGAAAGCACACTTTGTAATCAGCCCAAGGTTTGATTAAAATTAACATAATAATGTACTAAAATATTTTCTATCGATCTATAAAGTATTTTGACGAAATAATTTTAATACAATTTGCAAATAATAAGGTATTTGTTTGCACTAGTACATAATATCTCACTAGACTTTTTTTTTATTTTGTGAAAAATTTTGACGTGATGGGCTTAAACCGAATTCGTATTCAGAATCAGCGTACCCGTATTATTTGCAGCGTAATTTATAATGATGCTACAATATGAATTACCCAGAACAAGTTTCGGTCACGGAAAAAAAATTAAAGTGTTTACGGTGCCGATATTGCACTAAGCAAAATGCCCGAAAAAGATCGCCGTATCATTGCCCCAGCTCCCCCAACTCACCAGAACTATGCTCTTTGCTACAAATTGTACCATACACAAGTCTAACAATAAATGTATTTCTTTGAGTTTTAAGTTTAGAATGATAATTATGTTTCTCTTGTTTAAAAAAATGATAAAATTGATAAGACCAAATTTTTTCCCAATTATAAAGCGATTATTGTTGTTTATTTTGTCTAGAATAGCCTGCCAGTATACTGGTATTCAGTATAGAGTTAAAAACGTACATCCAACATATACTGTATCCTGACCAACAGTATACTGACAGGCTAAGTAAACCAAAAAAATGTTTAAATCTCTATATACTAATCCATGTGTCCGAGTTTTAATCCAATATTCCTGTTTTTTTACCTAAAAAACCATATCCGTTTCTGAGAATCATCTAGTATCAATAGGTTAGGTGCGAACGTATTAATACGATCGTTAACTACGAACTTCCATTCTCAATACCATTATATTTCTGAAAGATGGATATAATAAAACTAACAAACTAATATACACTTGTTTCAAAAATAATCACATTATCTTCTATACACTTCGTACAGCACTTATAACATGCACCAATAATGTAAAAACATCCCGTATTGGTAAGTTCATATTTACAACTATATCAGAATTGATTACAAATTTTGCGATTATAGATCGCATTCACTTTCTGAAATCACTGATTATCGAGAAGTCACTGAAATTAAAGAACATCCCGAGTGTCTCAACAAAATAGATTACCAAACGCAAATTCATTGTCACTCTTAGCTATTATCGAATTATTTACATAAGTTAAAGCTTTTAAGCTAATAATACCTTAAAAAGCTTAAATACAATGTAAGAAAGGTATAAAAACAGCAATATTTATAATTTAAAAACGTTTACTTCGTTATTTTACGCAAATCAATATTAATTATTTGATTAAATAATTAAATAAACGATTATATATTCTTTTTCACATTCATACTCATACAAAATCAAGCACAATTCTTATTAAAACTATGAGTTCATTCTAAAGACACAGTCAACCGCAAAATCAAAGCTTTGAAAATAAAAGTCTATTCGCTATGCCTAAATTAAATTAATATTATTTAAAAAATTGCTCTTGTATTATAAAATAATATTACAATCTTTAATTATCCAGATACGAATTGATAAATAATTTATCAATACACAGTTAGTTGCCTATTTACAACTCCAAATAAAAAAGATAATACCCACTGGTAGTATGTTTTGCTTTATCATCAATTTATTTATTTGTTAAATAAGAAAACACTGTGATTTACAAAAGATAAGTTTACAAATACTTCACTGACTACATTTTTTATTTGTAATCCCTTGATATAACTGGGAATAATACTAAAATTGGTTAAAAAAATTGAACAGTCCTCTAAACCTTAGAGCAAGGGAATATAAACTGAAGTTATAAATATGTAAAAACTATTTTTAGAGTAACTTTTTGACAACAAACGTTGCAGCAAGAATTTTTTATTGTATTTTTATCGCTATGGGACATATCGGTATATAACAGGATATAAGTGTAAAGACTCACAAGAAAGTGACTTTAGGCTAACCTAGCCTAGTATCTTAAACCTGGCGACCTTATTGATTGTCTGCAGGTATTTTAAAAAACAAATTAAGAAAGCTGTATTTTGAAAACGTTTCGAAAAATTTTCGAAGTTAAAATGGAAACGTCAAAATAAACTTATTTTAAAGTAAAATTGTGGCTTATTCCCAGTACAAGTGCTTAAGGTTTCTCAAAATATAATTCAATAGGATTTGAAATCGGTTCCAGTAAACTGATAGAGTACTGACATAGCTCCGTATTATATTATGATAAGGAGCTATGTCGAAAAGACAGGACCATTTTATTGTTACGACAGCTAGAAAAAATTGCACGGTATTGACTTCGAGAAGAAAAACTTCTCAGAAAAAATACACGGTACCTCCAGTTAACTAGTATTAATCAACCGTATTAGCCGTTAAATTTAGACTCATCAATATCAGCACTACACTGAAGTACAATGGAGTACCTGTTAGTTTATGGACGACTCCAAATTTGCATTGTATTATTCAGATGGCCATAGTCTTACTTAAAATTAAAGTGGAGGGAATACCTCGAACAAAATATGACTTCAAGTGTTTCAGTTTAAGGATGATTTGTTATTGTCTAGGGTTCAGTCAAACACAGATCTGCTTAGTGTTTGCAGACTAAAAGACAGACTTTTTGCTTAGTTTTTTTAAACAAATAATATATATTCAAAAACAAGCAAGCAATTACACTTTTCAAACACAGTGCTTTCTTATTTAGTTACCAATCCCACATTTTTCACTCCAGCAGCTAAAGATTTATATTCTGGTGTATATTTTCTATAAAATCAAATAAATAATTTAATAACATTTAAACTAAAGTCACAATTCAAAATCTAGGACGTTTAAGTCTTAAAAAATAATCTCGGTTACGTCTGCAGTACCCGCAATTACAGGGTGTATAAAAAAAATAACACCGTCTCTATGATAAGTAAATTAACTAAAAAATAATAGGGGTTTGCTTACTAGAAATTTTTTGAAACGCCATCCGTTTTCAAGATAAAGGGAGTTGAAGAAAAAATAATTTACACTTTTTTTCGATTTTAAAACGGTACACAGTATGGAGTTTTACCAAGAGTACCTGTTTGGTGTAAAATTGTATGGAGTTTAAGTTGGAATTTACTTAGAATTTTAATTAATAGTTCTACCCTTAAAAAAGTTATGTTGAATAATACTTGGTACGAACCTTATAACTAACGGCTTCTAGGAGAGTCAGATATAAAAACAAATTCATAGGATGGATCAGTTTCCAAAATATATTCGTATAAAATTTCATTACAATGAATAGAATAGAATAGAATAGAATAGAATAGAATAGAATAGAATAGAATAGAATAGAATAGAATAGAATATTCTTTATTAATCCCATCAGATCACATTGTGATATAAGACAAGTCATATAGTACATAAAGCATGATCAACAAGTTATATAGGATAATTAGATAAAATAAAATCAATAAAATATAGATTAATATAAAAATAAAAAAAAAGATATGCAATATAGAGACCCGTCGGTCCTCATTCTCTGCAGCCTTTTATTAAGTCAAAATATTCATTTAGGTTGTAAACGCATAATTGGATCAAGCATGCTTTAAATTTATTTTTGAATTTTTGAATATTATTTTCATTTCTTATATTAAGTGGCAAACAATTATAAAATTTAGATCCTGCAAAATCAGCACTAGTTTCAAAGAGAGTTGTGGAGTGTTTACATATGCTTATCAACCTCCCGTGTCTTGTCGGATAATTATGAAAGTCAGAGTTAAGGGGAAAATTTTGAAATTTAGTTTTGACGTGAATAATACACTTATAAATATATAAAGCATGAAAAGTCAACAGCCTGTGTTCAATAAAATATTTACGACATGATTGTCTATTATCAATATTAAATATCAATCTAAGAATTCTCTTTTGAGTTATAAAAACTCTAGAAGAGTTTCTAGAGTTTCCCCACAAGATAACATTATAGGCCATATATGAATAAACCAATGCATAATACACACTTATCAATTGATTTGTGTTTAAATAGAGTTTTCAACTGAAGGATCGCATAGTAACCCTTATTTATTGTTTTGTAGACTTTAGTGACATTTTCATCCCATGTCATATTACTTTCTAGAATGCTACCAAGAAATAATGTTGTATCACTAAAAGGTATTTCCTCAGAACGAACTGTAATTGTATAACCATGGGATGGCTTAAAGCCCGGGTAGAAACTGCATACAAATAGTTTTCTTTGCATTTACCATTAAAGAGTTCCTTTTACACCAGGTTGTAAATTCCTGTGCTACTAAGTTCATTTTTGATATGAGTTCGACTTCATTTGACTCGTCAACTACAATTGTTGAATCATCTGCATAAAGAACTGTATGGTCTGCAGTTAAAAAATGTGTCAAATCATTGACATATAAAAGAAATATTAAGGGTCCCAATTCGGATCCTTGCCGTGTGACCACGTACACCGTGATCAAGATTAAAAACAGATGACTTCTTATTATCGACTTTCACTAGGAATTTACGATGTTGTAAGTATGACCTTAACCAGTTCAAGAAATAACCCCGAAAACCAAGGGCTTCTAATTTATGCAGTATAATTTCAATGTCAATAGAGTCAAAAGCCTTAGTTAGGTCAAAAAAGAGTGCACCCACATACCTTTTTCGATCCAAAGCAGCGTGGAAATAATTAAATAATGAAATAGAAGCACTCTCTGTAGATTTCTTAGGAAGAAACCCATGCTGGCATTTATTTAAGATATCATATTTATTCAGAAAATTTAACATTTTACTATAAATACACTTTTCGATAATCTTAGAGAGTATTGTTTCGGTGATTGGCCTGTAATTATCAACCAAACATGGATCTCTCTTTTTGAAAATTGGACTGACTACTCCTGTTTTAAGGTCACTTGGAAACTTGCCATCCTTGACAGATAGGTTGATGATGTGAGACAAAACAGGAGATATATATGAAGAAATGTATTTAATTATTTTAGTGGGGATTTGATCAAAACCTACTGAGCTGGTATAGTTTAAGGAAGATATAGCATTCTCAATATCAAATGGTGAGACCTCAGAAAAAAAGAATGTGTTGTTAATTGTCATAGTTGTGAAATCGTTAAAGGTATAGTTATTGAAATGTTTTAATAATGTGTGTTTGACTGATGTACAAAAATACTCACCAAATTTGTTTGCTATGTGTTCTGGATGTATCAATAATTTATTATTATCAGTAATGCTCCACTCAAAATTGTTTGTATTTTTACCAGTTTGACGATTCACAGTTTTCCAAATCTCCTTCCTTCTTTTATTATTATTTTGATTATGTAAATAACTTTGATATGAGGTTTTTTGTTGGCAGTAGTTTCGGCAAAATCGTAAAAAATGTGTAAATTATTTTTTCTTCAACGACCTTTATCTTGAAAACAGATGGCGTTACAAAAATTTTTACTAAGCAAACCCTATTTATTTTTCAGTTTTTTACCTATCCTAGAGACGGTCTTACCTTTTTTTAAACACTCATATAATGTCATGTCTATATTTATTAGTAGGTACCAGCAATCTTAAAGAGTTAATACTGTTAGTAATTCTCACACACATTTGTAGATATAGATACCACCCCTCGATGGTACACTAAGTACAAATCTAAACACACAGAAACAGTATAACTTTAGTTGTTTGCAATGTTGGTCCGGATGTTAAGGGGTTGGTGTAAGTGGTTTCAAGAAATAGTCCATATTCATCAACATTGATATGGACGATCTTGAGAGAATTTTGAAATTTGGGAATTGCAATTTTACAAGACCACAACACGACAACTGAAAACTATTACTTAAAATTGTTATTACAAAGTATTGGTATATATGCACTAATTCCTCAAAATCGTACTGCCCGAATACAATTTGTGTAGAACATCATGCAGTCCAACTAATCCTCAGCCGTAATTAACTAACTTTGTAGATGGGCCACTGAATAAATGCTGAGCTCCAAATCGTTTCACGATTTGATGAATTTGGCATTTCGAGGCGAAAATACGTTACTTCTCAAACTCTACCATAAATGACACTATTCGTTATAATAAAACTTAAAAATTATTGTCTTTATTACATGTCTTACATATGTCTTGTATTTACATATGGAAAGTTTATATAAGAGCTAGGTTTTAAAAGAAGAAACAATAAGAAATCATATATGGTAAGTAATTTTATTTTTTAAGAGCGAACTGTTTTGTGACACGTCACAGTGTAGCAATCAAATTTGGAAGCTCATTATTAATTACAAGAGGACAATATTTTCAATTTGTAATCGTAGATAATACAAATAGACACAGAAAAGCTAAAAGTCGATAAAGAAAAATATGCTAGTAAATTAAAAACCGCCCAAGCACTGAATCTAGAACAACTCAGCGTTAATAGAATTAACTCAGTTATAACAAAAGCACTATTGAATGCTAGCTCAGAAGTAGCAACCCGCCATAACAACAAAAAATCCAAAATAAGTGCAGAATCGAAGAATATGCTGAAATAACGAAAAGAGCTCCTGTCACTAAACAAACGAAATACCACAGAATACAAAGAACTTAATCGAGCCATACGAAAACAGAAAAAAGACGATATTAAAAAACATCAACAAGAACATGTAGAAAGAGTGATAGAGAAAAATCGGAGTCTGAAATATACCAAACCGAAATTAGGAAAAATATTATAACTATTGTATGTAGAAACAAAAATCAACAAGGCCAACTAGAAACAAGCAAAGCTCAGATATCAAACATAGTTGAAAACTTCTATACTGAGTTATACCGCTCAAGAAACGATCCCCCCGACTCTTCAAAGCAAAATCTGAAAAGACAAATAACAAACGTAAATTCTGAAGTAATGCTCGAAATAAAGCGAAGTAGAAATAGAAAATGCAATTAAAGAAATGAAAAGAAATAAAGCACCGGGTAGTGATGGAATTCTCGCAGAAATGTTGAAAGAATGCGGAGAAGAAGTCATCAGGTACCTAAAAATACTTTTTAATACATGCCTATTTCAAGGAAACATACAAAAGGAATGGAATACTGCTAACACAATATTAATACACAAAAAAGGGGACAATACAGATCTGAAAAATTATCGTCCAATATCACTACTATCACAACTTTATAAAACATTCACAAAAATAATTACAAATATATTGACAACAAAGTTTCGATGTATATCAACCAGTAGAACAAGCCGGATTTAGAAAAGGGTTCAGTACATGTGACCATCTTCACACACTAAAAGTCCTAATAGAAAAAGTTAACGAATACAATTTACCAATATGTTTAGCATTTATAGACTACGAGAAAGCTTTTGACAGCAGAGAATTATGGGCTATTGAGGAAGCACTTGTCAACAGTAGAATAGATTCTAGATATAGGATATTAATACATAATATATATATCAACACGCTGAAATGGTAGTCACGATGGATAACGGAATGAAAACGAGGCCAATAAAAATCAACCGAGGAGTTAGACAGGGAGACACCATGTCTCCAAAACTATTTACTGTCGCACTTGAGGACATCTTTAAATCACTAATTTGGGAAACGAAAGGACTATCGATAAACGGAAAGTATTTAAACCATCAGCAGAAAGATATGCAGATGACGTAGTACTAATAGCCGAAAGCGGGAAAGAACTGAAGACGATGATCCATGAGCTTCATACGGAATCCATAAAAAAAAGGACTGAAAATGAATCTGAGTAAAACTAAGCTAATATCGAATAAAGATGATCAACCGACGATAACCAT